GGCTCTGTTCTGCTAAACTTAGCTTTCCGCGGACAGAGCGTCCCTGTGCGCGGTGCGCCCGCAGGGACCCAGGGCGGGGGGCAGGGCGGGGGGCAGGGAGGGGGGCAGGGAGGGGCTTCTCTTCGCGGGCAGAGCTGGAGCCATGATGACTTCGTCCGAGTCGTCCGAGGAGACGTCTTCCCAGGGCGCAGACGAGGGAGGGGGCTCGGCTGAAAGGAACCAGAGGGGGAGGGAGGGGTCACCCCACTGCCCTCTCCTGGCAGGACGCCCAGGGTCACTGCCAGAGCGGTCGGTCGGGACGGACAGACCTCGCACCCGCGTCACACCGCCACGGCCTCTCCCGTCACCGCCTAGTCCCACCAGCCTCTCGGCTCAGCTCCCAACACGGGCCTTTCGACACACAAACGCCAGGAGAGCAGCCTTGCCGTCACCAGCACCGGCACCGGCACCGGGAGGCTGAGTGTGGGCGGGGCTCCTGAGCCGCCCTGGAGGCAGGTGGCAGCGCAGATGCTATGCCCGGGCCACCAGCCTCCTCCTGAGCATCGCCCATCGGGGCGGAGGCAGGACCACCCACAGCCGCTCAAGCTGTGTGCCCACTGCACACCTGGGCTGCCACCGCCAGAAGAGGGGCCCTGGGACCAGGGGACAGAGAAGGCTCCCGCTCCACGGCTTCGCGGGGTCGGAGGGAAACGTGGCTGAGCCGGCGGTGAGATGAGGGGGACTCTTGCCGCACCGGCTTCCTTCTGTGACTCTCGGGGAAATTACCACCAAAGCGGAAACTTAGGAAATTAAAAACAGCGCCCTGGCCGGTTGGCTCAGTGGAGAGAGCATTGTCTTGGGGACTGAGGGTCTAGGGTTCGATTCCGGTCAAGGGCACAACCTTGGTTGCAGGCTCCTCCCTGGCCCAGGCCCTGGCCCAGCTCCTGCAGGAGGCAACCCTTCGCTGTGTCTCTCACATCGATGTTTCTCTGTCTCTCCCTCTCCCTTCCACGCTCCCTAAAAACCAATGGAAATACACCCTCGGGCGAGGACTAACAAAACGAAACGAAAAGACCACTCAGGCCTTTTCCCTTAAAAACACCGGCAACCAGAGGAGCCGGGCGCACGGACCGGCACGCAGACTGGCTCTGGGGAGCGGCTGCACTCAGGACGCGCCTGCGCTGCCGTGTGGCGGAGGCGAGGCTGCCGGGAGGCGGGTGCGCACATGGCAGCCCCATCACAGGACCAGGCCGCCACGGGGTCTGCTGGGCCGGGAGCCCGGCGCCCCAGTGCAGGGGCTGGGGCGGGGTCCCAGGACTGTGTGCGGAGCTTTACAAACGGAGGTTTGGAGAGAATATCGGAGTTTGAGAGCCCGGACAAGGCTGCAAAAGGCGACGAGGTGGCAATTTCCTGTGGGGGATTCCGGGCAAGCTGTGCGCAAACTCAGCTTGTCCTCAGCTCCCCTCCCCGCACCCCCTGCAGGGAAGGGGTGTTGGGCCGAGGGCGCTTCCTTCCCTGCCCCTGTGGCTGCTGCCGCCGTGGCCTCCCACTCACCAGGGCAGGGCTGCGGGGCTGGGCCCTCCATGGCGTCCCCGCCGCTCACTTCACCGTCTTCCTGACCTGAAACACAGGCCAGAAGCAGTCAGCGCCGGGCGGGGGCCCTCCCGCCCTCCCGCCCTCTGTTCTCCCGACACTGTCGGTTCAGAAAAACGCTGCAGGCGATCGCTGCGCTGGGTGCACAGATCTCGGCCACTGTGCTGTGCACCGACCCTCACACCACCTCACACCTCGATGACACCTCGGAGCCCCAACGGCTGCTTCCTTTCCTAGATCCCTGACTGGGAGCACGGCGCCGCCTGCCCGCCTGCCCGCCTCCTCTCACTCCGTCTTTCCCACCCGAGGACAAGGACGCAGCGGGCCAGCGCACCCGGGAAAGGCTGCCGGTGACAGCACCTGCTGGCGCCTCCCACAGCCCGAGCTGCGGGCTTCAGCGGCCGGTCTCAGATCTCCACCCACCCGGGCTCATCCTCCCTCCAGCAGGTGGAGATGAGCTGCCCGGTGCAGGACGAGGTGGGAGGATCCCCAGGACAGCACGGAGCAATTCCCAGCTGCCACCTCGCATGGCGGCCCCGCCGGGCTCCGACCTCACAGGCCTGCCACCCTGGTTTCTAAGTGGCGGCTCTGGGCCTTACTGAGCGGGAAAGGGAACTCGAGCAATTCTTTACTTAAAACCCAGCCCCGGGGAGCACTGGTCGAGGGAGGGCCCCCAGCTGGAGCCGAGAGCAAAGCCAGGACGCCTGCCCGCAGCCAGGACTGGGTGCTGGCAGGTGACTGGCCTGCAGGCGACCCTGTGGGTTCTGAGTCCCAGGAAGTGCCTGGGGCTCTGTCTCCCCACAGCCTGGGGAAGGGGCGGAGCTGTGACGGGGAGGCTGGGTGAGACCCTCACTCCGCTCCATGTCCCGTGCTTCCGGGTGGTGGCTGTTTGGCCCCAGCACCGACACTCAATGACCTGGACTTACCAGCAGGCGCCACAGGGGGCGCTGGCGGGGAGGGCAGGCTGAGTGTGGCCCGAACAGGTGTCCTGGTAGAGGCTGCAGGAAGCGCCCCGGTCCTGGAAGAGAGCGACCACAGCTGACCACCGCCGGGCCGGGCTCGCTGGCTTCCTCGGGCCACTGGCCCGACAGGATGGGCAGCAGGTAGCTGCGCCCGGCCGAACCCCATCCTGACAGCTGGCCGTGGGGGCTCCCCGAGTCCTCGGTCAGCCTCCCGCATGCTCGCTGAGGCCGGGCCTCAGACACCCCTCCCTGCTGTCTCGGTGGTGAGGCCGCCATCCACCTGCCGGCCTGGCTGAGTGCCCAGGGAGGACCCGCATGGTCGTATGGCGGCCCCCGGACCGTGCCGTTCTACTCGGCTGCCCTTCTGCAGAGCGAAGCTGTAGACCTAACAGCGCGGGGCCGCCGTCTGCCACGCAGGCCGAGAATCGGAGGTGTGTGGGGGGCGAGGGAGCAGCGTCCGCGGGACCGGGAGGGGCCTGTGCTTCCCAGGCAGCAGACACTGTGGCGCCGGACGCCCGCTGAGCTCACTGCGGACCCAGCCTGGACCCCACTCAGGGGCTGAGTTCGCTCAGAGGGCTGAGTGCTTGCAGCCGGGAGTCCTGCCTGAGGGGCAGCGTGACCAGCAATGGCACTACTTCTTCAGGACGGCGTGGCTGCAGGAGGCCCGAGCCCAGGACGGCCCCGTGGTCCCTCAGAAAGGGGGATGCGCTAGGACACGGGGCAGCCAGTCCACCACTGGGCTCTGCCGGCCACACGGGTCTCACTCTCCTACCTGACCCTCCCCGTCCGACCAGGACGGTGGCCCACCCACCTGCACGGCACGGGAGCCAGTTTCACAAGGTGCAACTTGTGCTCTGGTGGCGCCGTGGCCCCGGCTCGCCCCTGCGCCTGGGCGCACCTGTGCGGAGGATAGGGAGCGGGCCTGCCAGGCAGCTTACCTGTGCCCGACCCGTGCCAGGTGTGCCCGGAACACCGACTGGATGAGGGTGACGGCCGCCTCCTGCCTGGGGTCGCCCTCGGCCTGGACAACGGGGCTCGGAGGGCGGGGTGAGGGAGGGCTCTGCGTGTAACGACAGGGAGAGAGCCCTGAGAACTGCCCGCCCTCGGGCGGCACAGCCGGCGCCCCCTCCGGAGAGCAGGTGGGCACAGCTCCGTCAGGGGCTCGGCTCCTCTCTCCAGGCAGCAGTTTCCGCTGCAGGTCCTTAGTGCCTGGCTCTAGAGACCCTTCAGGTGACACCTCGACACTTCCCCAGGGACAGGCGCACGGACGCTCATGCCTAAGCTCCCGCCTTAATAGCAAGAAGGACCTTCTGCGGATGTCCTAGCGCCTCCACTAACTGGACCCCAAGGGCGCCAGGCGGGGCCTGCAGGGCCGGGAGGGAGGCAGGCACACCTCGGGCGAGGAGGACCGGAGCCTGGGAGGGGCCGCGGGGTGCTGCCCCGGGGGGTGGGGGCGGGGGGGGGGTTACCTGGCTGGGGAGGCCGGGCACACTGGGAGGTCCGGGACCACACGCTGGGCTCGCCAATAGCCTCGCCCGAGCCAGGTGTCCGCGGAAGGCCGCCTGGAGCACCGTGGCCGCCTGCAGGGAGAGGACGGGAGTTGAGGTTAATGCCAGGAAGGTGGCGGCTTCGGACCAGGGGAGATTGCGGGGTGGAAGCTGAGAGCAGAGGCAGGGCGTCCCTCACGACTGACCGCACCGTCACCGAGACTCAGTGCCTCTCCCACCAGGACCTCCGGGGCAGACAGGTGACCTGGCCCCCGCGGCTCCGTGTGTGCGTGAAGCACAGCTGGTGTCGGGTGGCCGCTCTCCAGGTCACACCACCGCCCGCTGTGGCAGGTCAGTGCCGCAGACCCGTCTTCGCGGTGGGATTTCGTGGGGACCGGGATGCAGCTGCCTGAGCGTCCCCACGCTCACCTCTCCTGGCACCGGGGAACCAACCTGCTCACCTGGCCCAGCGCGGCCTCCCTCTTCTGAAACAGAGACAAGGAATGAGTTAACGGGGACGAAGTTCTCACAGTGGAGTCCGTTTCCTGGACCTGCCCCTGCCACAGTCGGGGGCGGGGGAGGGAGAGGAGGTGCCGGCTCTGCCAGCTGCCAGGCCTGGGACTAGCCACTGCTATCGCGAGCGCTCCCTCCTCCCCAGGGGGCTGCTCGTGCCTCCAGGGGTGGTGTGTGGTCCCCCCCACCCCCACGCCATTCTCCGCGGTGTCTGCTCTGTCACCTGCACCAACCACAGACCCGCCCGTCTGAGGGCAGGTGACCGTGGGTCCGTGAACAACGGGCAGTGGTTTGGGCAGCCGGGAGGGGCCTCAGCACCGCCTGGTGGGTGCAGCCCAGCAGGGCCTGGGAGCCCTCACCTGGCGCCTGTACACCTTCCACCGGGCCTGCAGGGTGCTGGCGGCTGCGTGTCTCCGCTGCTCGGAGCAGGCGCAGGGCTGGGACGGGCTGTCCTCGCTGGCGCCGGGCTCCGAGTCCTGCGGAGAGGGACTGCCGGCAGGCCCAGGCCGGGGCTCCTCCGGGGCCTGCAGGGAACCGCGGGGGAGGGGTCACTGGCCCGACTCAGCCGGTGCCGGTGCCGGTGCCGGAGAGGTCTGTGCCCGCACGCCCAGTGGACGCTCGGGAGGGACCGCACGCGGGCCGCGGCACAGGCGGGTCTTCGCTGCCCGGGCCCTCGGGGGCGCTCTCCCGGGACTCGGGCTGGGGAGGCAGCCCAGCAGCTTTGCAGAGCGCAAGAAGGACCAGCTTCCGGGCCCTTTCGTCCTCTGCGGAGGCCGTCACAGAAGTGGGCCTTCGGGGTGAAGGCCGTTCCTAGCCCGGCTTTGAAGGAGAAGCCGGAGTGGCTGCTGTGACGGTCAGAGTAGCCCGACAGGGGCACTTGGGGGCCCACACGCACTGCCTGCAGGACACCCCCAGAAAAGCTGCCACGAGCGCCGTCCTCGCCCCCGAGTGAGAGCTCCGGGGGACACGTGGCCTGAGTGAGCCTCCCGGAGAGGCCGTACCTCAGGGGTCCCCTCCGTGGGGTCGTCTTCCTCTGCCTCCTTCGCTGCCTGCAGGTCCTGACACTTCCGGGTCAGTGCTTGGATCTCCTCTCTAGTGGGAAGGGGACAGGGACACCCTTTGGCCTCACGCGGTGCGCAGTGTCCGCGCGTGGACATCTGGCCGCAGACGCGTGGTGGGGGCCCAGCTGCCAGGCAGCACCCACACGGGGCACCAGGTGTCTGTCCCGTCGGGCGGGAGCGCCGTGGGCTGGCCCCCCAGCATTGCTCTGGCCCAGCGAGAACGGAAGAGGCGCTGACTGTGCGGTGTGGGCAGGCGCTCGGCGGGTGTAAGCAGGCAACGTGCACAGAGGACGTGCGCCCGCCGCGGCTTTAAAGGAACATGACGCCTCTGCGCTGTGACCTGCCCTCTGGTCGCCCAGCCGGCACCAAAGCTGTGCCTTTCGTCTGAGAACAAACGCTCATTCGGTCCCGGTGGCAGGGTCCAGGGAGGGGCCGGCGCCCTGTCTGCCACGAAGGTGGCCAGCAGCCCCTGGGCAGCCACGCAGAGGCCACGGCGATGGAGAAGACAAGGCGTTCGAGCAGAAGCAGAAAGAGGAGCCGGAGGCCCTCCCGGCGCTGAGAGCGAGGACACAGGAGGGCCTCCGCCGGGGGAAGGGCCCGGCCGCCGGGGGAATAAGAAATCTGGCAAAGTGAGCTGTCCCTGGGGCCTGGGGCAGTGGTGACCCGATCCCACTCCTGTTTTAGCATCTCTTGCTACTAGAGCTGGAATGGAGTGCTGTCTGGGTGTACATTTAAGAATAAACTTTTGTAAAAATAAAGTTTGTTTCAGCAACCTGCCTTAGTAATTGCTCTGAGTGTAAATGTTTCTGCTCAGATGTCTACTCGTGGGGGCCTTTTTCACTGACGTGAAAGCCAAAGTGCACACCGTGTCCATACATTCACGGTGTCGGGGGCCGCCACCCCTGCCTGATTCTAGGACCCGAGGGTTCCCATCGCCCGAGCCCCACACCCGTCTGTCACCCCCACGCCCTGGCCTAGCCCTGCAACCACTGACCACTGCCTGCCCTGCCCGGCCTGCTCTGGACGTGTCGGGTCAACAGTGGCCTGTCTGCCTGCCGCTCCCGTGGACACGGTTCTGCCGCCCATCCATGCTGGTGCATGTCAGGCTGCGTCCCTCTCGTGCCCTGGTGTGGACACCTCCGGTTTCCTCTATTCATCCGCCGGTGGACATTTGGGTTGCTTCCGCTTAGGGGCTGTGGTGGACAAGGGCGGGTGTGGGAGGCACCGTCCCCGGGAGGCCTGACGGGGGCGCGGGGGGTGAAGCGTGTGGGCGCAGAGGTGCCGGGCCAGCTTGCTGACTGGCCTACCTGGGGGAGAGGCCATGCCCGCTGGCTCCGCTCGCTCACCTCAGGGCCGCCTCCCGCGCTCGCCTGGCCTCCTCTCCTCGCCGCACCTCCTCCAGCTCCTTCTCCACATCGGCCTTGGCCTGCAGCAGCTGCCTCACCTCCAGACTGGACAGAGGACCAGACGTGCGGTCAGTCGCCCGCCCGGCCTCACCGCAGGGGTGCTCAGCAAACAGCCCGCGCCCTCTCAGGACTGCGGACACACAGGGGCCGAGGGGGAGGCGGAGCAGGATGGCCCAGTCCTGTGCCACATGCCCTGAGCACCGGCCGCCAGCGGGAGTGGGTGCAGGGACCGTAGAGTCAGGCAGACTCGCCGAGGCCGGCCTCGCCGTCCTGGGCACAGGCGCCCCCAGGCACCTCCCAGGAGCTGGGCGCACGTGGCCATCCTGTCCCATGGGTGACGGGCTGAGGACGGGGCTTTCGGAGACCTGTCGGAGGTCCCGCGATCCCGTGTGACCGAGATCGCACACGTGGGTGGTGGGCAGAGCGGGCACAGCAGGGCTCAGGGGCAGCTGTTGCCCTGCCACCTGGCAGCTCAGGAGGCATTGCAGACGTCACGGCCTCTCAGAGCGACCAGCCTCGCGTTCAGCTCCCTGACACACTAACTTAGGAAGAGCCGGGCACCTCACTCCTGGATACGCTACTAGATTCCACTGCGGGGGCAGCAGCAGGCGGCGCCAGGGCGTGGCCTCCGCTGTCGCAGAAGCAGGGCATCAGCCACCGCAGCCGGGAGTCCGCCCCAGGCCGGGATATGCGCGCGGGCACAGGGGGTCTCAGCCGACACCAGTCAGATTCGAGGTCTGGGCCCCGGCCTCCAACCAGCGCATCCAACCTGAGGTGCCGCATCTCCAATCAGCCCCCCAGGTGGGCGGGGCCGAGGTGCTGGGTGCTGGCTCCCCGCCACCCACCGAGCAGCAGGTCTGAGAGCGATGCGGTCTCAGGAGACGCACGGCTGGGGTCACTCTCGCAGAACGGGGACTAGCGAACATGGAGTCATAAACACGGACCGAGCCTGTGGGCGTCTGCACAGGATTAAAGCAGAAGGTGGAAGTCCCTCTACAGCGTGGGGTCAGGAGCCCTAAAGGCCCCTCTCAATGGTGCACTATGGCCAACGAATGTCCTTCTCACACTCACGCCGCCGGCACTTCGCAGCCAGAACAGAGGCTGAGAGTCCCCTACCGGCACGCGGGGCTGGGAGCCGGCACTCCCCCGGCCCACGAGCGCGGCGTGAGCCCGGAGAACACACTGGAGCGGACGCCGCTGGGGGACACGTACTCTCTCTCCTGCAGCTGGGCCCGCAGGGCCTTCCGCTCGCCCTTCAGGCTCCGCAGGGCGCCCCGGAGCCGCTCGCCGTCGTCCTGGCGCTCGCCGTCCTCCTGCCGGTGCCCCCACGTGCTGGACGCGCAGAGCACCAGGGCGTCGGACCGGCCCCCGTCCGAGGCCTGCGGCGGGGGGCTCTCCAGCGACCTGATCTTCTGGGGGCAGCACAGGCATCGGTTAGCGTCACTCGGAGCGACCTCCCCATCCCGGCGCCAGCGCCTTCAGCCCGGAAAAGCCCGGCCACTGGCCCCGGGGCCGCCTCCGGGCCTGTCCTTCCCAACACGCTTGGTTTTAAAACGCCCCAAATTATAAAGTTCTACGTTCCAGCTTCTAGACGTGAAGTCACAGGACTACTCGCTCAGCCAGCAGCGCGGCGGCCCGGAGCCGCTCTCCGATGCCCGGGCGCCGGCCCTGGGCCCTCAGTCTGACGCTGGCATCAGAGAGCCGGGCAGCGTGGCGGGCAGTCTCTGAGCGCAGGCGGCACACGCTGAGGGAGCCACCGCGAGGCGTGGGCAGCGAGGAGCCACCCGGCACAGGCGGCCGCTGTCTGAGGCGCTGGGGCCTCTGCACCCACCCCGCTGGGCGCCCGCCCCCTCTGGTCGGTGCCCGTCTGCAGTCAGCCACGCTCAGGGCTGCCTGGCTCGGTCCCTAAGTGCAGGAGCAAAGCCCCGCTTGTCCCCATCCCGTCCCACCCCTCCCCGTGCAGGGCGGGCCTTGACCAGGCGCTGATGCTGACAGGCGCTCACCTTCTCCAGCTCCGCAATCCGCCGCAGCAGCCGGGGCTTGCTCCACTCCACGCACCCTGTAAAGACACACAGGGTGCAGCCACCGTCTTCAGTGGCCCGATGGCCGGCAGCCACCCCGCCCCTCGCCTGGCCCCCGTGAGGCGGGCAGGTTCCTGCTCCAAAGGGCTTCTCCGCAGGGGGGTCTGCCCCATCACACTGTGGAGTCCCTGGTACCCGTCTCCTAGGCCTCAGGTGACCCTCAGTCCCGAGTCTGCCCTGTCAGGCCCTGGCCCGCTGGTCCATGGGCACGGCTCTTCAAGGCCATGGTCCTCACTGTGCCAGCCCCACAGCCGTCCCCATCCGCAGCCTCTGGACCCGCCCCTGCACCCTGCACGTGCTCCAGGCCACCACTTGCTCCTGGCCCCTTCTCTGCTCACCCACAGGTGCTATGATGTCACCCGGCCACCTACCCCCTGGTGGCCACCTGCCCCCTGATGGCCACCAGGCCTTGGTCTGTCAAGGCCTAGACCCTGACCTCACTGACCCCCTCCCCAAATCTGCTCCTCTCTGCCCTGTGCACAGCCCGGCCCAGGGCACCAGCAGCCCCTGCAAGGACACTGCAGGCCCTGCCCCTGGCCCTCATCCGCCTGCCCCACACCGACCTGCTGGCTGCTCCCTCCCTGCACAGTGTCACCTCCAGGGCGTCTGCCTGCTTCCGTTTACTACTGTCTCCAGCCCCGAGGCCCGAGCTGGGCACACTGTAGGCGCTCACTAAGTTCCAGCACATTCCGCATGGCCTGCCCGTGGTGGTGTCTGCCCTGTGGGCCTCGCGGTGGGGGGAGGGCCTGGGAGGCTGTGGGAGGTACCCTTGGTCCGGGCGACGGTGGGCGAGCTGCTGAGCACGCGGTCCAGGTCCTCCTTGAGGCTCTGGTTCTCCTCGGTGAGCTCCTGCACGCTGCGCGACAGGCTCAGCAGGGCACCGCTCAGCTTCCGCTGCCGCCGCAGGCCGGCCTTCCGCTCCCCCGCGGGCCTGGGAACCAGACGCGGCTCAGGCTCCGAGAACCGCCGTCCCGCAGGACGTGAACTCTGACCCCGTCAGCAAGCTGTCCGCCCGCACAGGGCTCCGTCCCTGCGTCAGGCACCGAGGGGGAGGCCCAGCCGCAGACACCGGGGCATAAGCACCCCTCGTCCCAGAGCCTAGAGCAGTCGCCCCCCGCCCGCCCGCACGCTCCCGTTAGTGACCTGGTCGGCACGGACACGGCCCGGGTGGGACAGGCGCCGCGCCCGGGCCTCAGCCTCGGTCACTGAGTGTCGCCCACGGTCTGCCAACCATGGCAATGGCCCCCAGAGGAGGGAGTGTAACACGAGATCATCGTACTTCCGTCCCGACGGTTCCGAGCTCGCCAGCAGTGTCTGGAGGCGGTGGATCTGTGGACACGAGAGAAA